GCCGCCCTCGTCCGTTTAAAGCCCTTCTCGGCTTGCTCTTGTTTCCATAAGCATCTGGCGTCTGAGCGGTGCCGAACCGGAGCGGACCGGTTCTGATACCATCGCAGTGTTACTTCTTTAGGAAATATTTGTGTTTAATTTTGTGTTGCTGAAGGCTGCGTCAGCATTTCCGAGTTAATCCCCGTGTGCGGTATTCCATGGGTAGTTTGGAAGACCCCAGTGTTTTTTGGGGAACGTCCTTGAGTTTAGAAGGGTCGTGTCTTAAGTTTGTTCTAGCTGCCTTATCTAATTTCCATGTTTATTTTCCGCAGTATGGGTGGGATCACTCAGTTCACAAAAGGAAAAGGCTCCCCCCGGTGAAAAGGTCTCTGGTGTACTACCTGAAAGGCAGAGAGGTCAGGATGCAGAACGAGTCCAGCTATCACCGCTTGTTGCACGGATATGCAGCCCAGCAGCTTCCCAGCCTCCTGAAGGAGAGAGAATTTCACCTCGGAACCCTTAATAAAGTGTTTGCCTCCCAGTGGCTGAACCACCGACAAGTGGTGTGTGGGACAAAATGCAACACAGTAAGTGCCACCTCTCTGTTTCTCTGTGAGTTACGCCACCCCCGAATGATGTTTACTGTAATCGAAGTGTGTAGACTGCCAAGGGAAATATCAGGAAGTAATTAGGAGCAGAGTCAAAATCATGCACAATGGATTTTGAATGAAGGTAATGCTTAACGATGACCCGTTCTCATCTGAAAATATGTCGCTGTGCAGCTGGCTGCAAACCTGAACGCGAGGCCTGTACCTCACTGCAGCATCTGTCTAATCGGCACAGAGCGATCTACATCAGTTTGCGGGATGGAGAGCAGCGATGGGGTGGGATCTTTTTGTCCTGCAAACAGAAAGTTAGTGAATGCGAATGCCGCTAGCTTTGCTAAATGGTAGCTATCATGCCTGGCAGAAGTTGCTAGTAAGACTCTTCTTTTCATTATGCTCAGTCTCACACAGTTTGGTTTTACGCATGATTCTGTGCTGCTGACTTTGAAAAGTTGCTACGAAACTAAAAACTGTGGTTAAACTCCAGATATTCGTCAGAGTAGTTACAGTTGTTCCAAGCCTAAAAAATTAATTTCAGGTCTTCGGGATTATCCTTTGCTTGTTCACTTCGTGATTTTTTCACTGTAAATCTGTTTTCAATGTTCAAATAACTTCCCTTGTTTATGAACCTTTGGATGCTTCAGCAAAAATTGAAACCTCTTCAGACTCTTCAAGTGATGCTTTGGATTTGAAACATTATAGGGGAATATTAAAATAATGTCCTATGTGATTAATAAATGTAGGAAAACATACTTCTTAGGTAATACTCTCTCTGCCAGAGTTAGGAGCCCAACTTTATTGGCTGAGGTTGCAATTTCATGTATGAAGTTCTGATTGAATTAGCGCAAAATCTCAAATTTGTTCTTTGCAGGTTGGTTAGTGCCGCAGAAATGAATCGAGCCTTGTAAGGAATGTATAGATCAAACAGCTCTTAAACCTCAATGTATATCAGTTGATATGATTGTTTCTTTGCCTCAGGATTTTTTTTTGCGCAGAAGCCACGCTCGGTGATCTGACCTGCAAGGGACAGTGGTACTTTTTTTTTTTCATTTCAGATGTTCTGTTGTTATTCGTAGTTACACAGCGGGAGGCTTTCATGCAGTAGCTCTTAAGAAGCAAGGCCTAGCTGTATAAACAAAACAGTCTTTTAACAGGAATAGGCCTGAAATAGAATCTCTCTGCCTTCTTTCTCCACGTGTGTTCATCACCTCGGCCAGTCAGCAGCCAGCACTGTTCATGACACACAGCTTA